TTCGTCCAACCATGAGACCTGCATAAAAGAATCCCGGATTAGTTACGAGCAAGTAACAAACGAAGAAATTCGAACAAGACTATAAGACAAAAAATAACCTAGCAGGTTCGCGGCCTGCCCGTAGGACTGACACTCCACAAGCGCCTTTGTATCTATAGGTCGGGCCTCAAAGGTCGGGTAACCATCTTCGTCGAGAATATCCTTTCCCTCCCTCGTGACCCACCAGGCAAGGAAGAAACTGTCGACATATCTGCAGAGGGTACCATAGGCCTCCTCAACTTCGGTGCTCATCCCGCCTGCGGGCGTATGGTAGTGCCCGGTGCCATGCACGTAGTGGCGCGAGGTCCAATGCAAGGGAAACTTAGCTACACGCCCCAACACCGGGCGACCCTCATCGTCCAGAAGAGCCTCCTCGTGATCGTCGGTCACCACAATTTCTTCCTCGTATACAGACTCTAGAGCAGATTTGGTGACCGGCCGCACGATGTACCATTTGTCCTTGAACCCCCGGACATAATCCATATACATCCTGAACAGCCTCTTCGACTGTTTCAGGGAAACCCAACTGTGCCTACCTCCCCGAGACTGGCGCTGTAAATGGAAGACTCTGAAGAAAAGAGGTATGGTCGCCCCAATCCTTAAAAAGCGACACGTCAGTTCGAATGCCCGAAGAAAAGCAATCGAGTTGGGGTGAAGCTGCGAGGGGGCCAGCTCCAAATGACTGAAGACCCTGACCTAAAAATAACTAAAGGGGAGCTTTAGGCCAAGGTCCTTAAACGCGATCTCATACATAGAAAACCCGTACTCGGGGAACTCCGAGCAGATCCGCGCGTTAAGAGACGGTCGGGTGACGACGAAATTCTTCTGAAAGCCGGGCTGACTATCGACCCTGCTCGATGATAGTATACGCGCTCCGACTGCGCCGACTATAAGCAGAAGCAATCCCTCTGGGCTTGGCGCCCATCCACTCTAGCAAAGGATCGTCAATAGTATCGATCAGATTCACATTTTCCTCGGTGCTTTGGTCTTCCACCTCGTTGCGCCCCGAGGAACACGGTTCATCAGCCATTGTTACCTGCAAAGCACAGGAAATCGGTCAATTGGGGAGCAAATCCATACGCTCGCCATAACTGACGGGAAGAAGGGCACGACAAGCCGAGTCGCACTCCACACACAATTAAAACATTGAGGATTCGAACAAAAGTCTGGTATCACCTCCCCGACGCCAAGATGCCACGACAAGTCATCCTACATACTGCCTAAATGGGCCAACATCCCGACCAGTCATGAGTACGTCGATCTAAGCTATGGATATGACGAGCAATATCATGAATCCTAAACCTAGAACTAGGAGTTTACCGGGCAATATCATGAGTTAGGCGCCCAGAACCATGAAGATACCGGGCAGCATTGCGAGTCACATGCCTAAACTATGCGTTTACCGAGCACAAACATGCATTCACCGGGCGTAAACATGAATACGCCGGGCAGGAATACGAATGTACCGGGGCTAATCCCAGACGCAGATTTTCTAACATACAGATAATGGAAAAAATCATCTACCACAGAGAAAAAACATGAGGGATGAGACGCTTACTTGAAATCAGGAAAGAGGTACGGCGACAGAGAAGGAAATCGACGGCGGAAAGCACGGCGGTCCTATGAAAATCTGGAAAAACAGCAGCAGCTAAGGCAGAGGAAGGAGGAGAAGCGCGAAGAGGAAAAACATATTATGGGACCCAAGGATCCTATTTATAGTGATGACGTGGAATACGAAACGTCACCCCGGGGAACCACGAACTTCCCCTCCTCGACGCATAGCACCCCTAGGCAATGATGGCTCTATCTTCAATAGAGTGGCGTCACGGTTCCCAAAGGGTTGCCTCATGTACTCAACGAACGCAGCCCGTCGAGAGTCCCCCGAGCACTCCTCGAAAGGAATTATCTCACGAATGCGACACCAGGGAAGCTCCTCAAGCAACCACGGGGAACCAAATCTCCTGGCCGAGCATGAGGCCCAGTGACAAAGGCGAACTGAGATCAAGTCATAACTCCTGCTCCAGGAGGCACGACTTGGGGGGCTCTTGTTCTGGACTGGGCCCAGCTTGGCCCAAGAGCAAGAATGAAGGCCCAATCCAAACGGCTCTACAGGGGGCGCGTCGACCAGAAGCTACAACCGTGCCCGCCACTGCCCGTGGACGCAACGTCCTCGACCACACACAATCTAGCTCGAGTCCAGCTCGAGCACCCTCCTCGTAGGGCATGCTGTAACCGTTACACCATCTCCTGAACTCCGAAAAGACCGCGTCCTCGTCCGTCCGTATTTCTCGCAGAGCATCCAAGAAGGAGACCACGTGCGGGTCCCCACTACACACGTAGAACCTGGCAGTTCCTTTATTGGGCCAATCCTGGTCAGCCTAATGAAGGGACCTTGGCCCAGCGCTGGGGGCTATAAATACCCTTTGTTCCAAGAGGGTCAGGTATTCATTCTTTGATCCATATACAAATTCTTTGCCTGCTCGTACTCTTACTCACTTTAGCATCGAAGTGCCTTGCAGGTACCCCCATCTCGTTCAACTTTTGCTCGGAACCAGTCGTGACAGTCCAAGTCTGATCAGGTAAGATCAAAAATAGTGTATATAATAATAATTAAATGATATAATTAAAAAATAACAATTATTATAATATTAAAAAGTAAGAATGATAATCATTTTAAAACCAATTTTATTTAATAAAACGGTAATTATTTAATATATATATATATATATATATATATATATATATATATATATATATATATATATATATATATATATATATATATATATATATATATATATATATATATATATATATATATATATATATATATATATATATATATATATATATATATATATATATATATATATATATATATATATATATATATATATATATATATATATATATATATATATATATATATATATATATATATATATATATATATATATATTATTGATGGATCTTTACATATCGTTCTTGATGTCAGTTTCTATTTCAGGTAGAAAAATTATTTTCTTTTAGCTATAACGACTTACAGTAGATAAACACAATATTCTGAAAAGAAATTTAATTTAATTTATTTTTTGTAAACCTGCATGTTTTGACAAATTTTTAATTAATATTCAAATTAATTAATAACATCCATATACTAAAAAACAATTAGCAACACATCCACGGTGTCAATGGCAAAAGCAATTAATATTTAGAATGATAAGTATGTATAAACTTGTATAAATCATAAAGTCATTTAAATGAGGAGCATGTCTAGATATTATAGATATTATATATTAGTGTGTTTAAATATGAAAAAAAAGTAAGGAATTAAATTATATTGAAAATAAAAAATAATATTGTTTAAAATAATATATTTATAATAAAAATTGTTTATCACGAAGGATTAATAAATATAAAAGTGAGAGAGAAATTTGAGAGGTGGTGATAGTGTTTCAAAGACCGGATTAGAACGACTAATTGAATCAGAATTTAGAAAAAGTCATCGGTCCGATTTGATTGTTGAATCGAATAAGCTATTAAACCAGTGAGCGAATCAAATCGACCAATACTAGTAAAAAAAGATAAAATCAGTCAAATCGAATATGCTATTAAATCATTGAGAGCCAGTCAAATCACCACCTTGAGACCTTACTTTCTTCGTCGAAAACTTTTTCAAAGCTCGAATCTGAAGATCAAACGTGAAATCGTGGAAATCATAGGAATCAGAAGTCGATTTCCACAAACGACGTCAGTGTTTCGTTGGGAAATAAAAATGGTGATGATTGCGGAAACTACGACAAAACGAAGCTTCTGATGTACTATGTTGTGGAAATTTCGCAAAAATAGAGGGTTGGAAAATGTTTGTTGGAAAACATACACCACTCACCAGGACATCATTCTCTTCGAGTCCATTTCATATTACTCTGGATGGCTGACATGTGATAGTAATTTGATGTACATGTATCTGGCAGAGCGATGCATGCGTCAGTTTGGATTTTTGTAGATCATTCTAAGACCCCCATTCGTGGTTGCTCCTATCAGCATCATCTGTAGACATCTTGATGACATACTAACGGTCTACGCAATTCATATGGTACCAGAGGAGTACCTAAGTATGTCAGTCACAAGTCAGTGTCATGATGCTGAGGGTTACATGATTTGGTTCTATTCTGCTTCACACTCTGTCATGACACTAGATGCTCCTGGACGTTCACTTGGGTCTGCTCATGAAGAGATCCTGGAGAATGAGCAGACCAAGGATGACCATGTCGTTGATATGTTGTCGATCTGTCAAAATATTATGCAACTTACGAGAGAGGACATAAAGTCTGAGTTGTTTGAGAGAGGTGGCGATGATGCGGTTTCCCTAGCACATTTCGTTCTTACTGAGGCACAAAACGCCTTGGGTTACCAGCGACAAAAGAGGAATCAGGGGATAAGGTTTAGACATATGCATTAGGTTATACTTTTTAATGTATTTTTTGATGTTTTACTAGTATTTTTCAGATTTTGAGACCTATGTTTGTAATATTATGACATGTTTTTTTTAATTAATTCCTTATATTATTCGAAGATGTTAATGTCTGAGTCAAATAATGAGTTATGACACTGTTAGTCAGATTAAAATGACTTCAGATTAAAAAAAATACAAACTTAATTATTATTTATGCACAAATTACATGAAAAAAGTTTCCAGAGATGCAACTTTGAATACATCTCATAAATATCCATAAATATATATTCAAACTAAATTTTGACAAAAATAATTTGTGATGCGTTCTATCTCCGAAAATCTCTTGAAGACTTATTTTGAATATTTAGAGGCGTGATTAGCTGAAAAAGAAATTGCCAATGCTGGGCCAAGCGCAAAACAGGCCCATTCAAATAAACAGATTCCATTTCCGTTTCAATCCGCGTCAATAACGAAAACCGGAACTGAATTTCCCGTCGACGATAAGATGCTGAAAAATCTCCGATTCCGGCGACGCCCCCGTTACGGCGGCCTCCTATGCGCCGTCGTCTCAGCACTTCTTCTCTTAACATCACTCTCCCTCCTCCGCAGCCACACTCACCGTCGCTCCGAGATAAACTACGACTCCCTCCTCTCCGATTCATCGAACGAGGACACAACCGGCGGAGAGGACACAATCGACGCACTCGACATTGTCGAAGAACAGGCTCCGGAATCAACAACAGACGCGGAAGAAGACGACGAGCCAATCGAAGAGAGCAACAAAGCTTCCGGCTATTTCTTCTACCACGTAGAAGGCGTAATAAGAAGATCATTCAACAAGCGATCGACGATGACGATGACGGAGGAATCGAATCAAGGATTCAGGATATTCGAAACGACGTTGGAGGATCGCGGGAAGACCGCGTTTGGTTCTGATGACGTGGCGGTGGATGAGTACGTGAAGACGAAGATGATGGAAGTGAAGGGAATCGAGGACGCGCTTTTGTTGAAAGTTGGTAAGAAGCCTTTGAGAGAAGGTTGGAGTAATTGGTTTGATAAGAAAAGTGATTATTTGAAGAAGGATAAGATGTTGAAGTCGAATTTGGAAGCATTGAATCCTTTGCATAATCCTATTTTACAAGATCCTGATAGTTTTGGTCTCACTGGCCTTACCAAGGTTGATAAACTCTTGCAAAAGACACTGGTAAATGAGTTAAAGAAAATTCCATTTCCTTCTAGGAAAATTAGTAGAGAACCCAAATTAGCAGCATAACTTAGTCATAAGTTTTTCAATATTATTTCATTTTGTTTTTTTCATAGCTAGGTATTTTTTGATTCACTGTAGTATGATTGTTGTAGAATGTTGATATTGATTGGTTGAAACCAGATACACAGTTGAGTTTATCTCACCTTGTGCAGATATGAGAAACTAGAATTACACTATGCTTCTCTGCATTATAAGAGAAGTTATTAAGAAATATCTCGAGATTAACGATTTGGATAGAAACATGGTTCTAGATAAAACATTATGATGGAAGTTGATTTATATAGTTGATCCCACTTAGTGAGATAAGACTTGATTGTTGTTGTTGTATGCTTCTCTGGATGCATGTTGACGCAATTGTACAACTGCACTTGTTCGGCCTTTTTCTTTTGGAAGAAAAGGAGTTTGTTATTGATTAGAGACAAAGTGAGGAACAAAAGAAAACAATTTGTTGTTTGTTTCCCAGATCATGTTTCTCTGTGTGTCTGTGATTGCTTACTGATTGATAGTATGAACTTGTCTCCCCCGCCTCCTCAAAACCAAATGGGACTTGATGGAACTCAGAAGTTGCAACTGTGTGTGCCCTTTACTGAAGACGTTCAATGTAAGTTGTGTTAGATAGTTTGGTAGTCTGCAATGCTTTCAAGTTTCAAATGTGAAAGTTAGTTATTTATCTATCTGAGAAAACTGAGTTTTTTTAGTTTTTTTAGTTTTTTTACTGCTCATCATATAGTTAATTTTCTGATCATTCTGTCTATATCTGGTAGCTGTTTCTGTACTACCTGACTGCTGGTCGTGCAGAACACTTAAGTATAATTACTTAACTCCAGGATCTTCGCCATTATCTAATGTATGGGATCTGACTATGTTATTTTCCATTCTGAATTGTTTTATTTTGTACATTCAGATTATTGAGCCATTCATTGCTAATTACGTAACCGCACTGGGTATAGCAAGATTCATGAGCTGTGCTCATTAGGTACTTCAGATTTGCTCAGGTGTTAAGTCCATGTCGGCATTTGTTGGTTGCCTTGGGGTATGGTTATGACCGTCAATGGTTATTATCTCCGAAATTGTCCCAACCTTCATCTTAGCAGATTTCTGTTACTACTTACCATTATGTCAAAAGGTTAGTATAGTTCTTATTATAGTACTTTTGTTTTTTTACTTGTTTCTGCATTCTTTTTGTAGCTTTTTTCCTGGTGCAACACATAAACCGCAAACCTAGCTTCAGTCAATGAGACATAAACCACATCACGGTGGGAAATCGGATTACAGTACAATAAAATGTGAAAAATAATGAAGCAGCTAATTGAAGCTTTTGGATTGATGTGGTTTTTAAACGCGGTTTCCATCAAATTGATGGGCAAAGGTGCGTAAATTAGCATTGTTTAGGGTGACAAAAATTTGGAAAAAACTAATCATTTTGTCTTGATTTGTAGGAAAGTGGATATTCAGTGAGCTGAAGCATATTCATTTTTTAGGTATTCACGAAGGTACACGATTCCAACACTCATTAGTTATTGCACATAAAAATTAACGTCATTGCACTAATAACATTTTATAGTGAGCACTACTAGTTAAACACTTAATCCTCAAGGATTGTTATTACAGAAGCCAATAATAATCCTTATTCTTTTCCTTAAGTAGACAAAGACCCATGAGTTCAGGTAACTCACGAGTAGTGGATGAAAAACTTTCTATGTCTGTTCAGACTTGCGAGAGAAATTGTATGGGGCCCAAAAACCCTTCAAGAGGGAAGTTTCAGGCTTCTATTGGAGCACATGAGATTTTCAACCCAGAGGTAATAACTTAATACGAATTTCAGTTATTATATAAATTAACAATATCTTTTTTTTAATAATTTTTTTATATTTTATCATGGTTGTGAGAAGCACCACCTCTAATAGAAGGTGACAAATAGAACTATGCATTGTTAGTATGGAAAATGGCCAAGTTCAAGAAGTAGAACAATTTCACCGGTTTCAATCATGTCACTATAGAAGACCTCAATACCTCATTGTAGAACATTCATCATTAAAATTTTGCTCTCTCTCTCTATATATATAGAATATTTTATGTCTTAGTTTTGTGCTATTTTAAAAAATATATATTTAAAAAGACAGTCATACATGAGAAGTATGATTTTAGTTAAAACCACACATCCATTTACGAGGAGTATGACTTGTATTAAAATTTTAAAACAAAGTCGCCATCATGTAATTTGAACGTCTTACCCTATCTTGAATAATATATTTTTTATTTATATTAAATTGATAATTGATGTGTTCAATGTACTTAACTCAAATTAAAAAAATAGAGGAATAGAGATGATGGATGTTATCTATTGATATATAACTAAATAATTAATTTTAATTTAATGGAAGTTGAATTTGTTTTTGGGGGAAATAAAACCTAGAACTTAAATCACCTTCCTTTGTCTTTCAAAAGAAGTAATTATTTTATTATCAAATTCAATAGAGTATTGTACCATCCTTTTTGTCACTATATTATAAAGTGGCGTGACTAAATGAACTTCAGTTAAAATTTAATTGATAGAGAGCATTTGAGTTTGGCATCTAGTTAAAAGAAGTAGTTAGATATTGCTTATTTCTTAGCTAAACTCTGAATTATTAAGATCTCTTTCTCCTAAAACTCTGAATTATTTATACCTTAAGAAGTATGTTAAAAAATTATTTTTCCAATGCTATGTCACTCAATTTTACATAGATTTTTCCCAATACTCCCTTCTATTCAACCAAAAATGGTCGAATTTCCTATCACTAACTAAGTATATAAAATAATAACAGTCTCTTTTTCTTCATTTTTAGACATGGAAAGCAGCTTTAACAGAATTAGTGGCAACTGCCTCACTAATGTTCACCTTGTCTACCTCCATTATTGCATGCTTGGACTCGCATGAAGTTGATCCTAAGCTTAGTGTCCCCTTTGTAGTCTTCATCATAGTTTTCTTATTCCTAATTGTCACAGTTCCTCTATCTGGTGGCCACATGAGCCCTGTTTTCACAATAATAGCTACTCTAAAAGGTGTTACCACTCTTTCTCGTGCACTCCTTTACATCTTAGCACAATGCATTGGCTCGATAATTGGTTTCTATATACTCAAGTGCGTGATGGATCCAAAATTAATAAACACATACTCATTGGGAGGTTGTGCCATTGGTGGCAAAGGACTCAACTCTAGTATCAATGAGTATGATGCCTTGTTATTGGAATTCTCTCTCACATTTTTAGTACTCTTTTTGGGTGTTACATTGGCTTTTGACAAAAAGAGAGCAAAGAATTTAGGCTTGCCAATGGTATGTTTGGTGATAGCTGGGGCTATGGCATTGGCAGTATTTATGTCCATAACTGTAACTGGACGGGCCGGTTATGCGGGTGTTGGGCTTAACCCAGCAAGATGCTTAGGTGCTGCATTGGTTCATGGAGGTTCACTATGGAATGGGCTTTGGATTTTTTGGGTTGGGCCTATTTTGGCCTGCTTAATCTATTATAGTGTCTCTATCAACCTACCAAAGGACGGTTTGGCTCTGGTGGATGGAGAATATGATGTCTTAAAGTTGACTCTTGGTTCTAGTGGGACATTAGCTAAAGGTGACATTTCAAAGGAGAGTTTTTATTCCGCCTCTCATATATCTCAAAACACTTGATTTGTTTGGATTATAATTCGAACGTTTGTGTTTCATAGTTCGAACAAATCAAGTGTTTTGAGAAATGTTGGGGGCTAGATAAACTATCTGTATAAACGATATCACAGTAGAAGAAAGTAGAGTTGATTTTCAAGTTATGTATGGAAATGGATGATAAACTTTGAGACTTTGTTGTCATGGTTACTTAACAACTACCACTTACTAATAATAGTTGGTTAAAGGGAAAGGAAACGATTCTCATTTTACTTTTTCTCCATCAATATGACTTTCTTGTATGATTAGAAATTACAAGAATATACAGTACAATTACTACATAGGACTTATGTGGTCGTGTTTTAGCTTTTTAGTATTTAAAAGCAGTTTTATAAAATAGTTTTGAAAAAACAATTTAAAAACTAGTATATTGATTTTTCAGATATTTTTTTTTAGCAATAACCAAGTATTGAAAAAAAATACACAAATAATTATGTTTTGGAGAAAATTACGTAAATAATCATGTTCCAGAAAATCTCACAATGGAGGCGCCAAGTGAGCATGCGCTTACTTTTTTGTCTTAGGCGCTATGTCACTTGGCGCATGTACTTTGTTTTAGTCAAGTGAGATGGGACATGCACTATAAAAAAGAGAGGAGGCGTCATCTGAGATGACTACTACATGCAATTGTGATTTATATAAATAAAACACCAATTTCTCCATCATTCTTCACACTTTCTCACACTCTCTTCTTATTTTTTCTCTGTTATTTGCGTCATGATATCTCTTATGATTTTCACCAGAGATGACTACGTTATTAATCGAGGCTGGAAAACAAATTAGAAGGATCCAGAGAAGAAGAACAACCACTTCAATTGTAAATGGAAGAACTCAATCTTCGTTGAAGGATGCCAAAACAGTCAGAACCAAACACCACGACGATACAGATCCACAAACACGCAACCACAATCACCACCTCAATACTAATACACCCATATGCCTCACACACAACCACAATCACCACCTCAATATCAATACACCCATATGCCCTACACCCAACCCCAATCGCAATACCAATACACTCACATGCCCCCTATACAATTCCAGTCTTCTCCACATCTCGACGTGGGCTCCTCATCATCTCACTTTAGCCCAGATTTAGGCTTTCTTGAAGAATATGGCCCAACCAATCCAACTTACCATCAACCACCACATCACCATAACACCCAACAGTCGCAATACCAAATACCTCAAGATTCATTTTCTTTTTATCCCCTTTACTCAGACGACCAGTGTTATAGACCACCAATGGAACCCCACCCTCCACTAAGACAACAAAACTTTGAGGGCATGGGTAATCGACTATACCAAAGCAGATCTTCCAGATATGGTGATCTGACCGATTTCATGGATCCTGAACGCATTGACTTCACTGGGCCATCGATCCAACTGCAACAGGAAAATCGACGAAACCCACCACGAGATAGGCGAGGACGCACATGCGGAACCACGAGTCGTTACCGAGTTCTGAGGGACAACTAAATAATATGCATGATTTTTTTCATCATGTAATCGTTCATTTGTTAATGAAAAGTCGAAGTTTTATGGAACTATATTGTTTACTTATTGTCTCGTATTTATAATATAAAACAAAAAAAATTATCTCTTAAATGCACTTAGGCGCCATCTGAGACGACTTAGGGCAAACATGTTGCACCTAGGCGCCATCTCACTTGGCGCCTCCTTTTAAAACTAAAGCGTATGCGCCATCTCACTTGACGCTCCATTGTGGAGTTTTCTGAAACATGGTTATTTGTGTAATTTTCTCCTAAACATAGTTATTTGTGTATTTTTTTTCAATACTTGGTTATTGCTAAAAAAAAATCAGTTTTTCAATTTAAAAATAAAACCGAAGAAAATCATTTTAAAAAATGTATCAATTTAAAAAATAAAAAAACAAGCCAACAAATAAAAAATTTCTATTTAGTTTGTTATAAAACTAATTTACAAAAAAATTCTGATTTTTTCCTTTTGAAAACTATTTTTAAAAGTTTTATACTGATTGTTCAATTTTAAAATAAGAACATAAACTTGAGGAAAAAAATTAAGAAATAAAAAGAAATTGTAAAATAGTTTAAAAAATCAAGCTAACCAAACGAAATTTAAAAAGAAATTTTGAAATATACTGAAATTTTCAGTACTGTACTTGAAATTTCAAAATTTTTGATAGTGTAAAATTATTTTTCCCACGAAAAGTGCAGTATCAAAATTTTCAAAAAATCCGGTATTTGTCAAAAAATCCAGTACTTTTTTGAAAATTTCAAATTTTTCTAAACGGAATTTTTTTGAAATTTTGAGTATCCAAAAATTCCGGTAAAAACCATATTTTTTTGAAATTTAGTAATTATTGGTATAACGGTAAAAGCATAAGTGATGGAGGGTGGCACGTATAAGTGATGGGGTGGTATATTAATTCCTCCATTTGTTGGTAAGACGATATGAAGAGGGATTAAAATCCTCAAAAAAACCAAAAACAAAATAGAAAGATTATAAAAATCGATTTTTAAAATAGGAGACCAAAAAAATAAATAATAAAAGAACCAAAATTGTAATTAAATTTAAACTTTTTTTTTATTCTGTCGATGTATATTAATCAAATTATTTAAAATAAATAAATTGAGAAGTTTAAAAGTGGACGATTACTTTTAAAAAAATAATTTTTTTAACAAAGTTGAATATAAGATTGAAATATTTTATATTGAACTACTTAAATTGTGTTTAACATTTTCCTTTTATTGAATCAAGCAAATAACTTTATTGAAAGATTAAAAAATAATTCAACTCAAAAACAATACAACTCAAGTGATTCAAATAATCCATTTAAGCAAAATCATCAAAAGACACTAGTATAAACCCTTGAGGTATAAGTAATTTACTAATGTGGTGTCTATGCTTGGGTTTTGCCCAACATCTATGCACAATAACATTAATAATCTTTGAGACAATGTTGAAGCGGTAAACAAAATTAAGAATTTTTATAGTTTTATCATATCATCGCTATAGGGATTAATGATTATCAAATCTTCGTTCGACAAGTTCCTCGTTTATGAATTTGGTTTTAGAATGAGTTTAAAGTAAATGTGGGATTTAAAAGATATGAACATAAAAGAATACATTATTTGGATCCGAGAAAATCCGACGGATTTGCATTACATCCACCTATCAACTACTTAAACCTACTGATCAGTTGCACTCGACCCAAATCACTCATCAAAATTATCAAATATCGCTCGAATTATTCCGCAATAGGGGTTATGTCTAACACAGAGTTGGAGACAACCACATTGCTTGCATCAACAATCTCTCGTGCAACACCAACAACACTGAGGCATTAAGCTTTGATACCCACAATGATTATTAGCTCTAAATCTATCTCTAGAATTCAGAAACTAATAGATAATCATCCTAGATAAAGATTCGAGAAGTATATGTCTATAGCAACCCAAACCCCGAGTAGAAAGCAAAAATCAAGGATAATCACCGATAAAGATTTGAGAAATAGATTTTATACAACACCATAATTAATAAGTATATATAGAATCAAAGTAAATATACATACAAACTCTAACAATTAAAGATTACAAAGAGAATAGAAGAAAAGGAACCAAACATTTATTGGTTTGTCAACACCAATAGATGAGAAATTCGACTCTGGATCATCCGATTGCAACCTCCAAATGTGGTTTCTAAGTCTCTCTCTACTAAAAAATGAAGGTGATGGTGTTGGGACTCAAAAATACCCAAATCATAACCTAAAAATGTGTTTTTTCACCTATTTAATGAGTCTGAAAACCGCAGACCGCGCTTATCCCCAAATCAGGTACTTTAGCGCGTTCTGTGCTGTCATGAAAAAAAATCAGTACTTATTTTCGCCATAACTTGATAACCGTAACTCTGATTTACGCACAGTTGGAAGCGTTGGAAAGCTTATTTAATACTCTATCTAACCATGACTAAATACAATTGATTTAATACCTACAAAAATGATATAAAAATAATTAGACTCAATGATATTTACACGATAACACATTATATACACTATAATATAAACTATACCGAATATGCACTAAAGTTGAGGTTTATTGATAAAAAGTAAATGAATTAAGTCGATGAGTGCTAATTATTCACACTCAAATTCATAATAATTTAGCACTCATCAGACAACTACATTGTGGCTGATTTCCCCCTAAAGCAAGCTTGATTTTTGAACCTCCAACTTTCATTTAAGATTTCTGTAAAATCACATTGAAGCACTTTTGTTTTCCACCCTTCTTATTGTACATATTAGTTAACCATTTAATTTCATCCTTCTATTCGGTTGGGTAGTGAGAGATTTCCAAAAAATATGTGGTCCAAAGTCTCTACCTCCTTACAAAAGCAACAATTGGCAACATCAAGTAAACCAAATCTGAATAGTCTCTCTTTGGTTGGCAGACTTGTGTGACAGGCCATCCATAATGTGTGTATATCTCTAGCTCTAGAAACATTGCCAAACATCATTTTTCTCCAAGGCACAACTTGATCATTATCAATGAAAGCATTATACATCTTCTTGGTATAAAACTTTTCCTGCCGCAACAAACTATTCCAATCCTACATGTTAGCAACTTCATTTCTTATTTTTAGAATGGTCTTCATGATCCAAGATAAGGACCTTTTTATTGGAAAAATCATGATATTATAGCCTTTGGAATAAGTTATGAATCCATCTAATCCAAAGGCTACCAGCCTTAAAATTCAAGTTCCATATGGTTTTCCCGAGGTTGGATTTGTTCCAATCATGAAGATCAATGATATTTAGGCCTCATTTGTTTCTAGGGGTGCAAACCTTATTCTAAGACACTGTAGACTTTCTAGTAATGGTCTCAGTACCTTACCATAAAAAGGATATACAAATAGCTTCCATTCTCTTTATGACTTGTTTAGAAATAGGAAAATATTGTAACCAAAAGCTACTAATGGCAAAA